AAATTAGAGTTTCCGCTTCTCCGAACAATCATATCACATGATCTGAAAAAAATTTGGGTGGTGAATTTACCCCGGTAAACAAGAAATGATGGTGAAATAACAAGCAATTCCGGAGAAATAATAACTATTACTTTAAAATTGGTTGCTTTTACTGATTAAAGCAGTGATTATAAGTCGAAAACCCGTCATGCGATCATATAGAAACGTGGAATAATAAACGTTATAACAAAGATGCATTAATTAGGGCGAAAAATTACGTCTCGTTAATTTTATTAGAAAAACGTAAAAAATGTGCACATCAATCTAAATTACACAAAAAATTAATGAGCATTTCTTCTGATCGTAGCACAATCCTAGGTGCTGCCCTCAATACGAAATCACAAGGTAATCCACTAATCAGAAATGAAATCAAAAATAACCTAATGCTGGAACAATGAGTTAGAATCCACCTCTTTGATAGTTTCCCTTAATATCTTTTGCCATTTTTATAAATTCCTTAACCATAAAGACATTTATCTGAAAACTTAAATAAAGTTTCGCAGTTCAAAAAATAAATCATTGTTTATGTGCCAATATGCTTTAATGAAACAGTAGAAGAAATTTTACAAAATAATAAATTCAAGTTCGCATCCGAAATTTATTGTTTGAATAGAGTATTTATATTTTGTGATACTAATAATGTTAATATATATACGTATATGAAGACAACATGCTGCGAATAATTAGAAATTATTGAGTACCCTCACAGATCGTGCAAAAAAATCGATTATAGCTATGTCACAAAACTGTATTATGAGGCGGGACTTTGCGCTCGAAACGGAAAGAATGTTTAGTAATGGTTGGTTATTATATTAATTTACGAAAGATAATTTGATTTCCAACCAGTCTAAAACATTTTAATAAAATACTGCCAACTATATTTTATTAGTTCATCACTAGTCCTCTCGAATAGGAGAGCTTGACATATCACTCTTGACTTCAACATTATTTATACCTTTTTTGTGAAGTTTTTTGTCAGGTTTACCTGGAAGCGAAGGAACTCTGCCTGATAACTTGGATACACCATCGTTGTCCTCGTCCTGTAATTGTTTAATCATGTTTGCCGTATTCATTAAGCCTTCCTGAATAAAATAATAAAGATCAATAAGTAAGAAATAAAAAACATTACCAAAAACAATTAAAATATACTTTTAGATCCCAGAGCAAAATAACAAAATCAAAAATATGTTTTTTTTGTTCTTCATAGCAGATCGGGACAATTGCTTTGTGCGTACGCTCCCATTGTAAAATTCCTCGAGCACAGTTGTGCATTTGCCAAATTTCAATTTTGTCTTCTATAAATACAAATCAGAATGGATAAACTTTGATATCAATAAATAATAAATGCGAATAATATTTACCATAAGTATGCACAAAAAAGACACGCGTGTTTGCAAATAACCTTGGTGATGCTTTCCGATACCTCTCACCGATCTCCTCAAGCATATACATATTTCCTAAAGGGCCTTTACAACATCCGTCCCATGTAGATCGTGGAATCTCACGGTGGCCATAGCCCCCAGACATTTCTAGATGCCCGATCTCGATACATGACCTTTTCAATCGTGCTAGAAATATGCCATCTGCTTTTTGCTCAAAGAACTCGCACTTCCGCCGTTCACAACAGGATTTGATAGACGAAAGGATAACCTCTCCACTAAAAAAAATTTTCATTTTAGTTGTACAATGCATAATATAGCAATATAACAAGTAAAAACAATTACGGTTCATAAAGCAAGTGGCCTTCCAATCCCGTAAAAAGTTCTATAAGACAAGGATGAATTATATATGTGCCATAAGAAGCCTCCGATACTCCAATTTGTTGCATAATAGATTGTTGTGGAAAAACAAATTGATTGCTAAAGATATTTTAGTTAGTGGGTAAATTTGGAAAGAAGTCAAATAAAAAAAAATAAATACTTACAAGCGAGACAGTATCTTAACAAAAAATGATGTCAGAGCATCCGGAGGTGCTGATATTAGATTTAATTGCTTTACCTCTTCCAAATCATCATTCAGCTTCATCAACTCTTTTATTTTGATTTTGTTTAGTTCCTTTTCTAAAGCCGTGAGAGACTTCTATAATTACACATTTTTATAGAAATTTGAGAAACTGAATAATTATATCAATATGAAGGTAATGAAGATAAAGTGTACATTTTTCAACAAACTTGCAATAAACTCTGGAGGATTAACAATGCTACGTCGTTTTGTAGTTTTCTGAATTTCAACATATTCATCTTCTTCACACCATTTGGGTTTTGCAACTTTTAGTCCGCAACGAACTATACCCCATACTTCTGGTCTAAAATGGTTTGAAAAATTAATGTGTTGCAAACACAAACTGGCAATATCAGCTATAACTAACCTCATCAAATGACCGTTAATGCCAGCCGCCACTTTTAAAAGATCGATTACTTTCAGGCCAGACTTTAGAGTCCATTCATTGTAGTCAAAAGGTTGTCCACTACTCTCAACATCATATTCTTTATCGGTCTCTACGAGGAAAAGTTCTGGATCCAATATTTGTCCATCATATTCAGTGGAAAAATTTACCTGAAGTATTAAAATAAGGAAATTTAATTCAACAATGCAACCATGTTGCATATAACAGATTAAGACGATTAGATCCACCTTCTCTACTGAATCCTGTTTACGTAGTCTCTTATTTGAAGTCTCTTCATTTATATTGAATTCATTCGACTTTGTCTAAAGTAGGGAAAAAAAGCAGTTAATATATAACAACTATTGAAACTAAAACAGCAATCAATTGTAAACCTCAAAAAGCGCTCGTTTGTTCTTTCTCTCAGCAAACTCTTCTTCCAAGTCTAATAAAACTCCTTTATTCATAGTACTTGCATATTCTTGATTTTCTTTTGCTGCGCGTATCATTCCACTTATCTTTTTTTTTGCATTGGAAAAAAGTTTGAATAATAAATTATACGGAAGTAAAGGATTCACACATGTCACAATAATTTCATATTTTTGAATCTACCTGAACATGTTTCAGCTTCACCTTTTCCAACTCGGTCTTTTTCGAGTATACATCAATTTCTACGGCTTTCCATATGTTATCGATGGTACTTCCCGTCTTACGTTTTTGCTATACAAACAAAAACTTGTAAGTTTCAAATTCAGACAATCTGGTGAAGCGATTAGAAGACGTGTGATGTAAATTCAATTGTGCAGCAATAAGCCATAACGATCTGAAGGCAGATCGTAAGTAGGATTAACATGCAGTTGTCCCCATAGTCATGGATGGCTAACGCACAATTAAGGAACCCCACTCTACCAGCAAAATTGGCAGACCACAACGAACAAACAGATCATCAGAGGTGCAACAAACAGATGCACGTCCTTGTCATGGAGAAAGCCAAACCACAACTAACAACGCGGTTGCTGTGGCCACGGCCCTAGGGGACCTTTATCTTATCGCGACACCATGTCAAACCAAATAAATACTCGCCTTTGCTTTTTTTAAAAGATTCTGGGCTTTTCTGACTTCGTTGCCAATAGGAGATAAATCAACAATGTCTTCAAGACACTTAATAAGTTTGTCTTTAGCCTTCTGGTAATTGAGCTTGCTGAGATCCTCCTGGTGGTCGTGTATCCAGCTTTTGTAGAACTCTACAACATCCCAATCATTACAACCTGTATTCTTAAAGTACGAATTTTGGTTTTCAGTCATAAAGTTTCTTCAAGAGATTATTAAATAACGCGAAAAGTAAATTCCAACTGATAACCCTGTCGCGTAATTTTATACTATTCCCCTGAATGATCACCGGGAATTTTAACCTTTTCAGAGGATATCACGAGAAATTGATAGCCTATAAAGAACTCGGATCTAATTTAAAATCGCCTATTGTAATTTGAATTCTTCTAATCATTCATCCATGACTTTTTTTACAGTTTATATTTTCATGGCGAAATTTCTTTTTTGTCAGTTTTTAGATTGTACTAGAGAAATTTTACAAAAGGTATCTAAGCATTTTTTGTAATTGAACCAAAGTTTGTAGAATTGTTGGTTTGTTTATTGTATTAGTATGCTGGTATTTGGTCAAAGTAATAGTATTCACAAAACAGTCTGGCTGTATCTACTAGTATTCTAGGTGATGTGATTGCTACAATAATGTGTATTTTGTAATTTTTGTAATATTATTTGGTAGTCTTGGCTTGTTTGTTGGATTAGTAATTATTGTTTTTTTATTTATAAAAAACTGAATTTTGTATTTTATTTTTGTTTCATTTAGAAATCTTTTGTTATATTATTGTTATAAAATAGTTAAATTGAGTTTTAAGTTTTATGCTTTATGTATCTTTTAGTAGTATTGGTTTTTATATGAAAAAATTATTTGATAGCAATTTAAATCTATAATGTTTTTTTAATAAGTTTATTACTTTCTAAACATCTATATTTTCTTTTAATATGTCTAATAGAAATAGGTATTTGAGTTTGCTGTTTAGTTTATAATAAGTAGTTGGTAATAGTTCTTTGTTGATAACAAATTAATGTTGCTAGATTTATAATAATCAATTAGTTTTATATGATAGTATCTTAACTAACAAAGTTATTTAAGTTTATTATTAAAAAAAATAATCTTAATTCTTTTTTAAGTTTTTGTAAATTGTTAAACAGTTTATATAATAAGATAAAGTAAATTTTTAGTAAGGTTATAAAATAAAATATAATATATAATAAGTTTGCTATAGCTTAGATTTGTAATTTTTTAGTAATTAGTATATTTTTTTTGTTTTAAACAATTATATTAGTATTTTATTAAGATTCTTAAAACTAAATACATATATCTTTATATAAAATTTAAGTTTAGTATTATTCAGTTACCCTAATGATACCTAAGTGCAATCTGTTGCACTACTTTAGTTAGAGATAAACTGCTTATTTAACTACTTAAAGCCATACTAAAAAGGTCTTCTTCTTTTTGTAATAAGCATATTAATTGTTTTCTAAGCTTCTTTTTTTATTTGCTTTGTTTTTTATATTTTTTTCTCTTTTTCTTTTATTATTTTCTTTTTTTTTTTATTATTTTGTTTTTTTGTTAAGTTTTCTTCTAAATAAGCATCTTTTTTATTTTACTTATTATATTAGTTTTTTTTTTTTTACTTTTATATTTTTTTATATTAGGTATTTTATATTGTTCTTGTTATTATATCTAAACATTTTTTTGCTGCTTGCTTATTTAGCAGTTGATCAAGTCTTTTATTATGATTAGTTCTTTCATAATACCTTTTTATTATAATTTTTTTTTGTTTTTTTAAATACTACTTTGTATAATACTTGTAATGTAATTTTGTTCTTTTTTTCTTCTTTAAAACTATTTTACTGTATATCACTGTTATTGATACTTTTTGTATTCATTTTTATAAGCTTTTTTGTTTATAACAACTTACTAGTATTCTTATAAACCTGAACTAAACTTTGGTCAAGTTCAGGTTCAGGTTCAGTTTGATACTAAATCTGAACTTGAACTTTTTCTAAAAAAAAGTTCAGTTCAGATTCAGTATTAAACTTTTAATTCAAGTTTAGGTTTAGTTCAAATTCATAAATTTTAAGTTCAGTTCAGGTTCAGGTTTAATGATCTGCAAAATTTGAAATTCAGTTCAGGTTTAGGTTCAATAATCTACAAATTTTAAAGTTTAGTTTAGGTTCAATAAACTTGGTTCATAACCTAAACTAAACTAAAAACTAATTTTAGATTTTTTATCAAAAATCTAAAATTAAGCAACTTTTCTTTAAAACTAGAAATTATAAAATAAATATATGCTAATATAATGTATTTTTATATATAGAACAAAGTTACTTAAAGAATAAAAATAGGATTAATTAGTAAAATTTCAAGAATTATAACAATTTTCATAATTTTATTAATAAAATTATAAAAAATATTATAATTCTTAAAATTTTATTAATTAATCTTATTTCTATTTTCTAAATAAATTTGTTCAATATATAAAAAATATATATATAATATTGAAACTAAACATGTTTATAAACTTTAAACTGGGGTGTGGCAATCTAGTGAAGTAGATAAGTTGTTAACTCCCAAGTGGCAGGTCTAGAGTTCAAATCCTAGTAATGATGAAAATTTGCAATTCTTTCTATGTTATAGTTAACTGTCTTCCGTAATTGGTTAAGATAAGACATTTGTAACTCATGTCATACCAGCATGACTGGAAGGTCTAGACATTTGTGCAATGTTGTACAAAGGAATACAAACCAGTACCAGATGGTGTAAACCCAAGATAAGTCCTTAGGCCATGTAAATTATAAGAACCAGGTAGGAAGACTGAAGCTCACTTGAAAGACCCAAATAGAGAGGTAACCCAAACTTTCAACAGTGCTACTGTAAAGACTAGACCTATGAAATAGAGCTAGAACTTGTGAAATCAGGCAAAGAGTCGGCCTTTGAGGAGGAGCCGAATAGAACCAACCAGGCTGCCAGAATTTCTGGGTTCTAGAGGAAAAGGTTACATGCCAGCAAACATATAAACCAGAGGTGTATGATTATAACCTGTCTTTTCAGACTATCTGGTTTAAAAGCTTGGTAGAACTTGAATTAAATACCAAAAGTAGTAGGGATATATTGTGAAGTTAGTACCAAGTTTGAGATGAACTCTACAAGTGCATAGCAGTTAAATGGTATGCTCTAACGGCCAGTGTTGGTTTTGGCTATAGCGATATTAGGTTAGCTATAAGAATGAGATACAGAAGATTCTGAAAGGTTTAGTACAAGGACAAAGGTTCCTCATGTGAGTAAACTGCTTTAAAGACTTAGTGATTATGGCATATTTGCACTAGTATTAACCAGAACATCTTGGTAAATATAAGTAGATGGGTAGATATAGGAACAAAGTAGTTAAATAGGAAACTTACAAGCAGATTCCAGATATGGCAGCTAGTGTAAAACTTTTAGGCGGACTACTTAAATTAAACAATGACTAAAGTTGTATAAGTGGCTAGTTGTACACTCTTTTCATAGTTGCCCCTTATGGTTGTAATGCAACTATTAGCTGAATGTACTATCAATAAAATCCTAAGTCGCAAGTACTTACCTTAATATTTAAAAAAAAATAAAATAAACTTTAAACTGAACCTGAATTGAACCAAATTTTAAGTTTAGGTTCAGTTCAGATTCATAAATTTAAGTTTAGTTTAGGTTCATATTCAATAATCTACAAAATTTGAAATTTAGTTTAAGTTTAATAAACTTGGTTTATGAACCTAAATTGAACTGAACTGAACCTAAGAACACTACGACTTATTATAAGTTCTTGGATTTTATTTTTACTATTTTGATAAATTTAATATTCTGTTGTTATATATATTTATAATTTTTTTTTATTTAACTTTACTAATATTAATAAATTATTCATTATATACTTGATCTCTGTGGCTTTTCTTATACTTAATTTTTTTAATTAACTTTGTATTTCTTTAATTAGTTCTTATTTTAGCATTTGCAATTATTTTGTAATGAAATCTTATAACTATATTAATTTTTTTATTTTTTTGTTTTAGTTAATACTCTATTTAACCTTTCTAAATAGATCATTTTTTTGAAATTTGTCTTTTTTTTCACAAGAATATTTGCTTTATTATTTTATCTGTCTTTGTTATAACTTTTGATTTTAATTAATTCTAATTTAGTGTCTTTTTTTAACTAGTTTTGTAATATTTAATATTCATATTGTATTTTTCTTTTTAAGAATTTTTTAGTTTTTGTATTTTGTAATACTTTACTAATATTTTTTATTATTACATTGCTGTTTATATAAATTTATATATCTTTTTTCAAAATATTGTTAAGATTGCTACTCATATTGCTATCAGTTCAGCTAATATTACTAACAATTATTTTTTTAAATCTAGTATTATTTCTTTTCTAATTAATTGCTTTTTTCTCTTATTTATACTTATTTAATACTTATTTTTTCTATACTATTTTTTTTGATTTTTTTTTTTTAATGTTAAGGTGACCTTTTTGGTCTTTTGACTTTTATTAATGACTTTATTGATAATATGATTCTATAAATTACTACAGAAAAGCATACAATTGGCTACATATATAACTTTTTTATATTACCTATTTAAGAAGTCTGTCTGAAAGTTTTTTACCAATTGTCATACCTAATAACTCTGCTTAGGTGTTTTACTTTAAATTCTTTGAATCTATAATCTGTGTTAACTCATTGAATTATACTCAAATATTCAGATCATTGTTTCAACTTTAGAACTATTTTATTCTTAAGATAAATTTTTAGAACCTTCTATACTTATTTTTACAGCTAACCTAGGTAATGTTATAACAAAACCAATACTTGTGATCAGAGCTTAACTATTAAATCACTATGTCCTTATAGAGTTCACTAAACTTTAGCATCTACTTTATAGCATATCTTTAGTATTTTAGTATACTTCTGAATTTCATTAGACTTCCAATTCAGATAGTCTATGTAGAACTATGACCAGTTTACCAATATATTAAGTTGACCTAATATTCTTTTTCTTTAGTTTATTTTGGTGACCTAGTTGGTAATACCTCTAAGACTTCCAAACTGGAGGTTCTTGTCTGTCAGTTACTAAGACCTTGGTATCTGTTTTCAATAGTTTAGTTTTTATAATAGCACTATTGAAGATCTGGCTACTTCTCTACTTAAGTCTTTTCAGAT